CTCTCATCATTTCATGTTTTAGTTTCCAAAGACTCTTATTAATCCTTTTCTCAAAATCCATTAGCATGTTTCCAAGACCATCTGTTGTAATCTCTATTCTGCTTCCCATTTGTTCAAGTAGCTTCTGCATCATATCTCATGTGACAAGTTGGTCTGATAAACCTTTCCTGTCAAAATTCATTGAGGAAGTCATTACAGAATAGACCCAAAATGCAAAAAAGAAAAAGAGAGTGTTTTTAATCAGTTTCACTTTCAGATGACAGTTTGTGTCCTTTCACCATGGCAACAAAAATTAAGCAAGCCAAAACAAGTAATCCAGAATGTTTTCAATTCAGTTAGTCTCACTTTTGACTAACAGCCATCTGTATTCGTCTCACAACAGTGACCAAGGTCAGATAGTCCCAGAGTATCTCAGAGTCTTATCTTCTATTATGTATAGTTAACAAGTAAACTTCTAAAGTATATATAAGAATACTCTCACAACAGATTTGTCTTCATAGCCAAAAAAGTTTCACGCATGCGCACTTTCATCGAGAATAAAATTAAAGATTAAAAATTAGAGATGGGAAAAATAATCCCTCATCCAATTAGCTTTCACAATTTCATTTCTTTCTTTCCTGATTTCTTAATTAAATTTATTGCCAAAGTTATTGTTTCAAAAAGTTCTTTAAAGGTTTTTATAATCCCATGAGAGAGGTTACCTTAGCAGGTAACGGCTCTTTTTGTCTTCAAGAAAATCTCTCTTTGGCTGTAAATAATAGTTTCATAAATCTTAAGAAGTGGAGTTCAGGCTTCAGTCCTTATCAAGACTGGGAGCAAGTTGCAAATTCCAAGACCTCAGATCACTCGAATTCAGGAGGTGTCTGTAAAGAAACCGCTCAACAGAAAACAACCTAAGAGCAAACTAAACAGGTACACGTGGCTTATCTCTTGATCTCCCCTTTATCCAGTGAGGTTTTGCCAACCAAAGAGCCCTCCTAGTCAGTAATTAGCTGCACTGTGTCTTCACTCCCTGTGAAGACGTCATCCTGCCATTACAACTCCACTAGAAGCCCCATCGCTCATTAGAAGCTCAATGGTCACGTCATTCATGTAGATACACTCCACAGAGCACTAACCAGTGCAGTGGAAGAAAGAATATTTTGGTTTCTGCAGCAGCAAAGTTGCTAAGGAAATACAATTTCCTCTCAACAACTAGATTTCCTTGAGGGAGGTGTGTGGACTCCCGAACTAAAAATGAACAACTACGGCACGTTCAACCCACTCAAATTTCTTCATATTGAGGATGCTCTGCTAACTGGTGCAAGAGGAGGGAAAATGATATATTGGATCAGCTATGTACTTATGAAGGTCTCCCAGAGCTAGGTGACATATCTCTAAATGCTGGAAATTTGACCCAGTTAGATGCTAAGTAAATAAGCACTGTGCTTGCATGCCCTTTCCTTAAATGGATGCAATTCTGGTCTGAAAGAGAAATGTAAAATATAGTTTGCCATTTCAGATTTAAGTCACTGACAGCAACTACATGAAGTGTAGAGGAAATGTTCAAATGCACACTTTTGCTCACATAGGACTATAAACATGTCGAATTCTCTACGAGTACATTTGCATCACTGCCAGGTTTATGAGTCAGGCTTCTATTTCACTCAAGTTTCCACACACTCTTTGAGTCAAGCTAGCTCAACGTTAAGTATTATTACAGAGCTCAAGCTTTAGAGGCTTTAAAAAAAGAGAGAGATGAGAAAACACTGTCTCTGAAATGAAATGTTTTAACTTACCTGCTTAGGTTTCTTGCAAACTGTATTTCACTGCAGTCCTATGTCTAGTAATTCATACATAATTTCTACAAATTCCAGTTGTGCACATACCGTGAAGTGGAAGTTTCCAGCCTTAATGGGCAACACAGAACTATGTCTAGTAAAGGTAAAGGTTCCCTTGCTCGAAAGCCAGTCGAATCCGACTCTAGGGTTGTGGTGCTCATCTCCGTTTCAAAGCCAAAGAGCCAACGCTGTCCGAAGACGTTTCCATGGTCATGTGGCCAGCATGACTAAACACCAAGGCGCACGGAACGCTGTTACCTTCCCACCGAAGTGGTACCTATTTATCTACTTGCAATTTCTTGCTTTCAAACTGCTAGGTTGGCAGGAGCTGGAACTAGAGATGGGAGCTCACTCCGTCATGCGGCAACTCGGGTCTCGAACTGCTGAACTACTGACCTTCCACAGCCTGCAGTTCAGCGTCTTAACCACTTGAGCCACTGCCAACTAAACAGTTACTTCCTTTACTTATGATCTGAGAAATCCACAAGAAATTTTTTTATTACAAATAATATTGTTGGTCCACTGTTTGCAATTTCACATGCAGATTTTTCCTGAGTCCATACTACTGTCTAGGCAATTCTCCATTAGTGTTTGCATATTTTATTTTTCTTCTTTATTTTATTTTTCTTGACATGGTTTTGGATTCTGTCTTACAGCAATCTAGACAAGTAGCCTCGGCTGCAAAGTCTCCCAGTTTAAATGTATTCTAAATTCTTTCATGACTCTCATTAAAGAATTTTTTTAAAAAACCCAGCACTAGACTAGATACAATTGTTATTCTGTCAACTCTTAAAGTAAAATGAATCTAACAGTTTATTTCAGTGGGATCCAAATGATGAAAAATGTTGGAGAGGGGAAAGGAAAAGAACATTCGCACAGATATTCCTTAGATTACAAAAAACATACTGTTAAAAAAGACTGGCAGTGCAATACTAAACATTTGCAATTACAGTACACTACTACAGTTATGCTGGTGCAGTATGATGATTTACAACGTCTGCATACATCCCTCCTAACGTCACACTTGCTTTCACAGCAGATCTTAATATTAAACGGCCAGATTTTGCTCTCATGTATAGATTCAGCCCATAGGAAAAGTTTGATTGAAATGTTTAAAACAGAGCCATATGCTGTATTTGGGATGCAGAGGTATTTATTTATTCATTTGGATTTATATCACGTCTTCCCTGCAGGCAGGCTCGGGGCAAGTAACAGCAATGTAAAATACAACACAGTGAAAACCAAATTAAAACAACAGTATAAAATGCCATACTCCTAAGTACCATGTCAACTCTGATAGAACCATAACAATAGTGGTGGAAGATTTTAAGATGTTGGGGTCCAGGCCGCTGGTGGGGTCGGCCACAAAGTGAGGGGGGGTGCCCGCTGCCTCAACCAAATGCCTGGTGGAAGAGCTCTGTCTTACAGGCCCTGTGGAATTGTAGTAAATCCCGCAGGGCCCTGATCTCACTCGGGAGCTCATTCCACCAGGCAGGGGCCAGGGCCGAAAAAGCCCTGGCCCTGGTCGAGGCAAGTCGGACGTCCCTGGGGCCGGGGACCACCAAAAGATGTTGACTGGTGGACCTTAGTGCTCTACGGAGCTCCTATGGGGAGAGGCGGTCTCGAAGGTACGCTGGCCCCTGGCCGTAGAGGCCTTGGAAGGTAAGTACCAACACCTTGAAACGGATCTGGTATTCAATAGGCAGCCAGTGCAGTTCACACAGCACTGAGTGGATGTGAGCCTGCACAGGCGTCGCCGTCAATATTCGCGCTGCCACGTTCTGGCATAGCTGCAACTTCTGGAGTAGAGTCAAGGGCAGCCCCACATAGAGAGAGTTACAATGTCAGAACTGGAGACTGATGAAACAGATGATAACCAGAAACCAAGCCTGTCATTCTTTTTGTCTGTTAAAAAACACTTCACTATTTTGCATGCTAATTTAACAAGCCGCCTTGTATATACACAAGTATAGATCGAAGTGGGCAGCCATGTTGGCCTGAAACAATAGAACAAAGTTAGAGTCCGGTGGGGGCACCTTTAAGACCAAAAACCTTTTATTCAAGATGTGAGCTTTCGTGTGTATGCATACTTCATCAGATGATGAAATGGAATTACAGATCATACCCCCCCCCCCAAGTCTGGAAGTGACCCTTGCATGGATCACTGTTGCTAGGTTCTGAGGAGTGAAATATGGGGCCAACTGCCTGACCTGCCTCTGATGGAAAAGGGCAGACCTGGCAGTGGTGGTGACCTGGGCCTCCATAGAAAGGGAGGAATCCAGGAGCACCCCCAGGCTCTTCACCCTCGACGTTGGGACCAATGGGGCCCCGCTGAAGGCTGGGAGCTTGATTCCCTGTCCCAATCCCCTACGATAATTTGATACTGTATTTTATGTTTAAAAATTCTCCCCCATTAGGCCCGAAAAAGATGGAGGGATAGGCACACACCACACTCTGGAATGCAACAGATTTTATCAATGGGGTCACCTAGATTCTTCCCTGAAACTGAATGTCCAAGTAACAGCAACTCCAAACTGCTAGTATGAAAGAACACAGCATACTACAGTGTAATATATGATGGCCAGTGTAGTCTAGTCGTCAGAGTATAAGACAAGGAGCTAGGAGACCCAGGTTCAAATCCCCACTCTGTGATGGAGCTCGATGGGAGACCTTGGACCAGTCACACACTCTCAGCCTAACCAACTCTCAGGGTTGTTGTGAAGGTAAAATGGAGGAAAGGAGAACAATGTAAGTCACTTCGGGTCCACATTGGGAAAAAAAGCAGGGTATAAATGAATAAATAAATTTGTTCCATCTCTATCCTGCATGTAGAACTGAATGCAGCTTATACAGGGTTCACGGAAGGTTTCCTATTCAAGCACTGGCCAGACCGAGAGTGCTTGCTTTCAGAAATGACACATCATCTTGCACCCGTCAAGCACACCCGCAAGCCCACTGAAACAGAGGTTTTTAATTAAGGAATTCTCCATCAATAAATGTAAGCACTGGAACGATTTTAAGGCCAAATGCACAAGCTACAGTTCTAGTAACTTCACTAGAACACACTTTTTACAACTTTTTTACTCATTACAAATATTGATCACTTTTTATCATTGTATCAGCTGCAAATGTTTAAGTAAAAGAAACATTCAAAAGGTTGTAGTTACATACCATTCTTACCTGTAAGGGTAAGAGCGTGTTACTGTTGCTGTCTGTTCGGAAAACATTGTCTTCAATCCACGATTTTGGTGTCAATGACGGAGTAGAACGTGTAAATTTAGGTGGAGCTATGACGTTACCAGAAAACGGTTTCTTCAAAGGAGAAATCTGGTTCATGGTTCCTGGAATTCCCGTGTTTCCAGTTCTACGGTGGTCTCTACCATGAATACTTCCCCAGGACATGTTTCCAGTGCTCCAACCACTGTTCTGATGGTTACTCCAAGGTGACGGCTTCAAAAGAGGCTGGAAGGAGAAAGATACCAAGTTATTTAAAAAACAGTTGATGAATTTGGTATTATTTACTTAAAAGATTCCCAAAGAGGTTTGCAATCTTAAATTAAAATAATTAACTAAAAACACTTAAAGCCATCTATGACATGTATAATACAGTGCACGGATCCAATCAGTTATAGCAAAGAGGATGGAGGGAGGAACATGTAGCCCAAAGAAAAAAAATGCTCTAGCCCAATGCCAAATAGCTCTGCAAAGGGCATTCTTCAATCAAGGATTCTCCAGAAAAGATCCTGTCTTGAATGGAAACCCATTCAGGAGGTGGGGGCACAGAATACCACCTCCAAAGTTGCCAGGCAGGTATACATGGATGCAAGTGGTCCATTAAGGGCCATGACCAGTTGTGGCTTTAAAAGAAATAACTAGTCCTTTGAAGTGAAGCAATTAAGTAGCAAGCACAGTTCCTACAAGATGGAGGAGATATGCTCTCTACTGGGAGTGGCCAAACTTGCTTAATGTAAAAGCCACACAGAATAAACGTCAGATGTTTGAGAGCCAGACAATGTGAACAAATATTACAGAAATGCTTTTATTGAAAAATATGCAAATTTGCTTTTTATTAACATTAAATGAGACTGCCAAAAATAAAAATAAAAGGGATAAAAATATTGATAATGATATTTATTTGTCCAATTATATTTGTAGGCTGGGGGGGGAGGCTTTGAGAATGCATTTAAAGCTGAAGTTGCTTTATTTTTCTGCTCCCCCCTGCCTCAAGCCTACTCAGGAAGGGGAACACTGGCTGGGGAAGGGAAGACCAATCAGGGAGGCATGCCTCCCCTTTGCTTCCCCAGCTGCCCTGTCAGGAGCCACACAATGTGTGTGAAAGAGCCACATGTGGCCACCCCTGCTCTCTAAAGTTAGTGCCTACTTGCAATCTTGCCATTGCATTCTATATCACTAAAGTTTCTGAACAGTCTTCCTAAATAGCTTCAGAAGAACACACTGCAGAAGTCCAGTCTGCACATCAGACCACAGATAACCACATTCAGATTTTGCTCAGACAGGAAGCATTTGAGCTGGCACACCAATCAGAGATTATTTCCAAGAAATCCAGTGCACCTGTACTAGCAGCATCCACCGTATCAAAAACATCTGCCTAAGCAGGCACTGGAAATTACAGGGGAAGACACAAGCTCTACTTTATCTCTATTCAAATGCCTGTGTGCATTTTCCTGGGACCAGCAGGAGTGGGCCATCTGGGCCAAGAACCCTTCCTCCTGAATGCAGCAGGAGATACAGACCCAGATTTGTCTTCGTTTACCCCACAAATATAAATTCTGTATTATATATATTCTTGTTTTTCATCAGATTGTATATACCTCATATCATATACTGGATTTCTCTCAAAAAAATCAGTGAAACTTACTTCATACAGCCGAAGATTCAACGTATGTTAAATTATTTTGACTTCCCATTTGAATGACAGCCTTCCTAAGCACAGCTACTCGGATAAAAAGTAATCATCTCATTGTAGACACACAAGAGTTAGCACTCCATTTGTCTATAGTATTTTTGTGCAGTAACTTCTGTCAAACAGATAGCCTGAAAGGACAAAACACTCAACTATTTCTATTTTCTCATTTATGAAACTTTTCCTACTACTGGTGGCCAAGTGAAAACAGGTTGCTTACCTGTAACTGGTGATCTTCGAGTAGTCATCTGTGCATTCACACCCATGGGATACAGTGCACATGCGCTGGATGGATCGGCATTGTAGCAAGCTCTTAACGGATTTTTGCGCCCAGACCTCAGGCATGCGCAGGAACCCCACCACGCATGCCTAGAGGGGTGGGCGTGGACATCCCGCCAGTTCCTTCAAACCGCCACGAATCAACCCCTATGAAAAATGTAGAAGCTGACAGCAGCGGGGAAGGAGGGTGGGTGGTGTGAATGCACAGATGACCACTCGAAGATCACCAGTTACAGGTAAGCAACCTGTTTATCTTCGACGTGGTCTCTGTGCTTCACACCAATGGGAGATTAGCGAGCAGTGGCCTACCTGGAGGAGGGTGCTGGCAGGTCATTACTGCGAAGCCAAGGATAAGATGTGACGCCCCATGTTGGTACGAGAGTTCTTTCGGACATCTAGGGCGTAGTGCCTTATGAACGTGTTAGGCGTAGTCCACGTAGCAGCTCTGCAAATGTCCACTAAGGGAACTCCCTGGAGGAAGGCAGTTGAGGCTACAACAGCTCAGGTTGAATGAGCCCTGATAGGGCCAGGCAATGGCTGCTTAGCAATAAGGTAGCAGAGGTGGATGAGACCTACAATCCACCTTGACAAATGCTGAGCCGTGATGCGAGTTCCCAGCCTAGCTGGGGCATATGAAACAACAGTTGACAGTCACGTCTCATTGGACGGGTTCTGTTTAGGTAGAACAGAAGCGCACACTTCATATCCAAGGTGTGTAACAGCCTCTCCTCTGGGGATGTTGGAGCAGGGAAGAAATCCGGGAGGAAGACCTCTGCCTGTAGGTGGAATTCTGACACTACCTTTGGCAGGAACGAGATGTCAGGTACAAGGCAAATGCCGTCTGGCAAAACAGACAAGTAAGGAGTGTCATGTCTGAAAGCCAGTATTTCTCCAACTCGCCTTGCTGAAGTGACAGCGACCAGAAAGGCTGTTTTCCAGGACAGAAAAGCTGTAGACACCACTCTCCAGGCTGTCAACTTCATTCGTGGTATAGGAGAGGGGACTCAGTTAGGAATAGGAGGTCTTTTGCTGGAGAAAATTGGTGGTAGGCCCCCACTGACAGGTCGAGGATGGTTGAGAACCATGGTTGCCTCAGCCACCACGGGGTTATGAGGACGCAGTCCGCTCTGTCGCTGATGATTTTGCGGACCACTCTCAGAAGTAGAGGCAGTAGAGGGAAGAGGTAGAGAAATCCTCTGGACCACGGATAGAGGAGACCGTCCCCTAAAGACTGCGGGTCCCCGCCACCTCGGCTGCAGAACAGAGAGCACTTTTTGTTCGCCCTGGTGGCAAAAACATCTATCTGGGGGAACCCCCACTTGTGGAAGAGTGGAAGAAGGTAAGTTGGATTCATTTCCCACTCGTGGAGACTGAGTCCTGCTCAACTCAGGTAATCCACCGGCACATTCATGTGCCCCGGGATGTGCGTGGCGACTAGGAAAACGTTGTGGGCAATGCAGAAGTCCCCTAACCGGAGGGCGAGGTCGCAGAGGCGTTGGGAGACGGTGCCCTTTTGCTTGTTTACATAGCTGAGGGCAGTAGTATTGCCCGTGAAGACCGTGACACACTTCCCCTTGATCAGGGGTAGGAAACTTGTGACAGCGAACTGTATCACAAGCAGTTCTAGAAAATTAATGTGCCGATTCCGTTTCTGTGTGTCCCATCTGCCTCCGACACAAAGTCCCATCATGTGGGCGTCCCAGCCCAAGAGGGAGGCGTCTGTAGTTAGGGTAATTTGGGGTGATGGAGGATGGAAGGGTGCTCCCTGGAATAGGCTGGAAGGGACGGTCCACCAAAGTAAAGAATCCCGTACTTTGATAGGTGGGAATAGGTGGGTGGAGTGTGTGTTTCGCTCTGGATTGAAATTGCGGATAAACCAGAGTTGCAGGTGACGCATTTTTAATTTGGAAAAAATCAGCACTGATGTAGTAGTGGCCATGAGGCCGAGTAGCCTTTGTATTAGGAAAGCCGTCACTGAAGGCCGAGAATGCATGACAGTGGCTAGATTGATGATGTCCGCTGCTCTGTTTTGTGGCAGGTAGGCTGTGCAATTTGTGGAGTCCAGTAGCGCACCGATGTAGTGTATTTTCTGGACCGGCTGAAGTTGAGACTTCTCCAGATTTACTGCAGACCCAAGTTTCCCAGGAGGGCTAGTGTCTCGATGTTTGAGGCTAGGGCGTCCCTGGAACTCACAACCAAGAGCCAATCATCGATGTACGTGTAGATGGAGATACCCTTTAGACGAAGGAAGACTGCGACCACTATCATCGTCTTTGTGAAGACTCTCGGTGCACTCGAAAGGCCGAATAGTAGGGCTGCATATTGGTAGTGATGTTGACCAATTGTGAAGCGTAGGTATTGGCGGTGGGACGGGTGGATGGTGAGGTGGAAGTACGCGTCTTGGAGGTTGAGGGTGGCCATCCAGATGTTCTTCTGGAGAAGTGGCAGAATCTGCTGCAAGGACACCATGCAGAAGCGGTGGTAGCTCACAAAGCAGTTTAGCGCCCGTAGATCTAAAGTTGGTTGAACGCCTCCATCCCGCTTTGGAACGGTGAAATAGTGGGAATAGAATCCCTTGCCCTGTAAATGCAGTGGCACCGGCTCGATGGCTCCCTTCTGCAGAAGGACGAACACTTCTTCCAGGAGAGCTGGAGAAGGGGGTGTGGAGACGAAGACAGGAGTAATGGGGTTCTGACTGAATTCTATGTGGTAACCCTGGGTCAAGATGGACAGCACCCATTCGTCTGTGGTGATGAGGCGCCAGGTTTGGAGGAAGGGGGTTAGACGGGTTGGATGTGACTGGAAGACATGGGAGTCAAAAACCCTGCTTGGCGGACTTTGCCTGCTTACAGCGGGAGGGCTGTTGTCCCGATCCAAATCTAGGTTTCTGAAATGTGGGCTTCTGACCTCCAGAGGATGTACGTGGCCTCCATTGCCGGTCAGGAGATTGATGGTTTGGGGTGCGTTTTTGCCAGGGTCTAGACCAGGGACAAGGTCGGTATTGCTGTCTCGTGGATGAAGAAACGCCCAGAGCACGAGAAGCTTTTATGCTTTTATCCATATCTTGTAATGTGGTGCCTGTGGTACTATTAAACAGACCAAGGCCATTGAAGGATAGGTCCTCTACATATGACCTAGTATCTGGCTGTAGATTGGTGTAACGTAGCCAGGAATGTCTTCGGAGAGCTATGGCTGAAGCCATTGTCCTTGAGCAGGTGTCTAGGGCATGTATTAATTTGTTGTTTCGCCAGCACCATGCCCTCCTTCTGGATGCGGGCTGCCTGACACTTGTCTTCTGGAAGGTTTGCCAGAAGCTCGGAAAGTGTATTGATATCTACTCATACACGCTAAGTAGTTGGTGGTCTTCACCCCTAGCGCTCCAGTAGAGTAGAAATGTCGCCTGAATGTATCTAGCTTTCTGCTCTCCCTATCTGAGGGGGCAGAATGGGTTCTTTTCAACTTGGATGAGGAAGTTACCACCATTGAATTTGGTTGAGGATGGGCAAATAGGAATTCTGCTCCTGTTTCTTGGACTCTGTACATATGGTCCAAGCGATGTGTGGACACTGGAGCCGATGATGGTTTATCCCATGGAGCTTTAGCTGCCTGTAACAGGACCGTGGACATGGGTAGTGCTATAGCCGTCGATGTATCTAGCTGCACGACATTGAAGACGGCATCTGTAACCTGTGGTTGTGATTGTACGATTGAAAGGCCAAGGGAATGTGCCATTCTTTTCATGAGGTCTCCATAGGAGGTTAAATTCTCAGATGAAGATATAGGTTGGTCATCGGCTACTGCCTGGTTCAGCAAAGTCTGATCAGGGGAGCTGTGTACATCCGAAGCCCCCGTATCGGAATCATCCACTGAGTCAGAGGAATCGGAGTGGAGTGGTTTTGATCTGACCAGTCGGGATCTGTTGACAGTGGGTTAGGGGGACTGGGAGGACGATATTGATCCGGTCGATGTCGAGGAGGGCCATCAGATGGATGATCCGGAGGATGGGAGAGAGATGCTGAAGGCCTCGATCTATAGGGTGACCATGACCTGTGGGCAGAGTAACGATCCCAATCAGAGTAACCTGCTGGAATCAACCATGGCATGGATGCGGGTGGATAAGCCCCATACAGATAACTCACTTGGCGGTGATCCCAGGAGAAAGCCGGAGGTGGTGGGGGCAGGAAGACTCGTGGGGATCTACTCCTAGAGTAAGAGCATCTGAGAGACAGTGTAGGATCTCGTCAATTAGCCCGATCATCGATATCGAAGGGCTGATCCTCGGCAAACAGATGGGGAGGATGACGTTGAGTGCTTTTAGGGATCTGTCGATGCCGATCTGGATCGATATTGGCATGGAACTCTGAGACCATCGAAATCGATGACCGAGCAGAGGGAGAGCGATCCGTGCCCAGGGGACAACTGGGGATCTCGACATTATCGATGTCGGAGAAAGGACGCATATCGACCAGCGTGTCATGGTCTAGCTGGTGAGTCCATTAGCTGGATGGTTGGGATCGGTGGAGCGACCGGAACCTCCGATGCCAATACTGCCATTGGAGCAGGGGGCACCTTAGGGGCATTACCCGGTGCAGGACCCGCTACTTTCCCAGACTTCGCCTCCTTTAGGGCTAAGGCTCCTCTCCTTTTTGGCCGACTTGTGTTCTTTACCCGACTTCTCCTTCTTCTTCATGGGAGTGGATGCCGAAGACTGCGCCGTTGGTGCCGAACGCTTCAATGTTGACTGGATGATATCGGACGAGGACTTCGATACCGGAGCCATCGATGTTGATGGTCTTACCAGCACTTCTGGATCCATGATGGAAGCGGGATTTAGCGCTAATTCCAGTAACACCACCCGGAGACGCGCTGCTCGGTTTTTCCTAGTCTGATTTGAAAACTTGGCGCAGTGTCGACAAGACTCTGGCCGGTGTGTCTCGCCAAGACAAAAAATGCAAAGGATGTGGCCGTCGGGTGGAGTGAGCTTACTGCCGCAACCCTTGCAACGCTTGAAAAAGCCCCACTTCTTCTCCATAAAATAAGCAGACGGAGAAGAAAAAGAGGTGGGGGGAGGGGAAGCATGAAGGCCAAAGTGAGGGAAACAAAAAAACTTCCCCCTCAACTAAACAAAGTCTTTTTTTTTAAAGAAAACAACCAAAAACAAAGCTAGAAGCGAAAAATAAAGAAAACTGAGGAGAAATCTGAAGTGGCTCTGAGGAAGAATAGCTACCAATCAGACCAACGAAAGGAAGGTGCTTCCAGCGTGGCGGAAAGAAAGGAACTGGCAGGATGTCCGCACCCACCCCTCTGCGCATGCGTGGTGGGGTTCCTGCGCATGCCCAAGGTCTGGGTGCGAAAATCCGTTAAGAGCTTGCTACAATGCCGATCGATCCAGCGCATGCGCACTGTATCCCATGGGTGTGAAACACAGAGACAACGTCGAAGATCTGAAAATCACCACTCCAAGACTGAGATAATCTGATTTGGATGTTCAGAACAACAGCTAGGCCATACTATAGAAAAATAAATGGGAACAATAAAAACACACACTACTGATAACAAAGGGAGGCAACTGTGGCATCAGGAAAGATGGGGAGCAGGGTGGGCCCAAGGCCCATCCTTCACTCCAAAGATAAGGACAGTAAAGATCTAAAACAGAGGTGTCAAACTCATTTGTTACAAGGGCCGGATCTGACATAAATGTCACTTTGTTGGGTCCGGGACACATGTGCCATAAAATGTAATGCCAGGTACTGGAAATAGAAACTGTATAAAGGACAGCAGCTGGTAAGCTCCGAGTTGGTGTATCCTCAATGCAAGGCCTCCTGGGCTGGGGGGGGGGTGCAGAGGAAAACCCACACAAGCAGACCGGAGAGGCAGCAGTGCAGCGCTGGGCAGATGCTCCCATGATGCTTGACTGCTGCAGACAAGGTTGTTCTGCTGTGCTGAAGCCACGATGGAGAGGCTCCGCCCACTCCCCCCAGCACTCCCTCCCTTGCATCAGTTGCTTGCGAACCACATAAGAGCTCTGGAGAGGCTGGATACGGCCCCCGGTCCTTATGTTTGACACGCCTGATCTAAAACTTTTTGCAGCTTCTGATACAATGTTCTATGTAATAATCTACTGTTTGTATGCAATCTTTTTTCAGAAATACTGGTGCTTCCCCAGAATTACAGCCCATAGGATAAAGTGGAAAAACATCAGACTTGGATCCTAGTTTAACCCCCTTCACAGATGGTGATTACAGAAAGAAGCTTTTTATAAATGAAATAATAAGGCTGAAGGGAAAAGATTTAATACAAGAGCATAAGCAGAACACAGTAAAGCTATTGGCAGGTTGAGAAGAATCAAACTAATCCCTTGCAAAAAAAAAAAAAAAGGACATGGAACTGTATGATTATCTTACTGTCAGTATGTATCAAACTAAAATTCTTAAAGGGCTCCATACAGAAAGCAGCTTCCCAGCCAATAGGAGAAGAGAATCCCACCCCACCCATTAAAGCAGCATTAAGTGCTGCATGCAGGAAGACTGGGACAACCTGAAATTCCACACTTAAAACTTTCCTTGGCATGGCTTGCAGGTTACACAAGCTGCTCTGTACAGAGCACAGGTTGCAAAAAAGGGGGTAATTCTGGGAAAGCACCAGTATTTTTTTTTGGGGGGGGGGATCACATAAAACCAGTAGATTATGACAATGATTGTCAATGAAATTTGCTGACTAAGCTAGGGTACTTGGACTGGTGGCTTTTTAGTTCAATTTAGTGCAAAGGGGATTGGACTATCAAACTGAGTCTACCTATCACTTGCTCCTTCAAAACCTTTCAGTACATATGGCCTCTACTTAAACAAACCAACCAACCCGGGTGCTTGTCTGAAGCAAATGTTCCATGCAAAACACAGACACTATACATAAAAAGCTGGCCTGTTCTCTTGCTTGTTTTGCATTACAATATCTGCAGTGCTGCCTTCATAGTAAAATGAAACTACTGAAGGGAAAGCAAAAAACCCCAACCCTATAGGCAGCCAACAGAACAATGCAGAGAATATTAATTAAACATGTCTAGTACAAGTTGCATAGGCCCTTAATTACTGATTTAGCACATTAGCATTCTCTGGTAGCTCTAGGCAGTGCATACGGGTACAGCACATATGAGCCACAAGGGGTTAAAGGAGATGACAATAAACAGAATGCTAATAGTAGAAAAGAGCAAGAGTCCAGGAGCACCTTAAAGATGAACAAAATTTGTGGCAGGCTAGGAGCTTTCGTGA